TTAAAGAAATACTAGGCTTAAAGACTTTTGGGACACCTTATAGGTTATTATGACAGGAGCTGATTTGGTAGCTTGAAGGTAGCATGGTCAAAAGGGCACACCGATAATCTGGTGTGCTCACTTGCCATAGAGTAGGAAGACCGCTATGGTCTCGGGCAGAATTCACGCGATTTCATCGTCGCGATTCTCCGAGCAAGACAAACAGTTACGACTTCATTGCATGTTGATCATCTTGAATTTCGGTTGTGATGGTTAGTCACGATTGGTCGGTTGGAGAACGACCACAACTAAAATGCGAGATGATCGACATGCAGTGGCCCGTAGCTTTGTTCGAGGGAATCGCACCGATGAAATCGCGTGAATTCTGCCGGGGTCTACAGGCAATTGATCTATCAATTAACTCCCGTTTTAAAACATGGTTTCCTGTACTCTGTCGCTATTGAACCGTCACGCGCGCTTCTTAATAAGCAGGACTGCGAGTGAATCACTACTGAGCAATAAAACAGGATGGAAACCGAGTGCCGCTAGCGCCACGCAGCGATTCGCGAGATTAGAAGTTTTCAGAACGTGAAACAAGGCAATTTTTTACAACAGAATCGCTTGTGACTTCGACCACTGTATTCTCAGTTCCACGGAAAAGACGACTCTCCGACCACGACATTGGTACACAAAATGATATGTAGGTAGTAAATCCTACTCGAAAGCAGAGCCAGTCGATCGGAAATTTCGATGCAAATTTGTACGCCATTTCTTCAGCGGGACAAAGAGGATGAAGAACTGTGGAATCGATAGATATTACAGCCGCCGCTGTAGCGCTTCTTGGTTCAGTAATAAACTTTTAACGGAGGCAGCAGTACGCTGCCTAACAATTTGTTTTCATTCCTATGTCACGACAGCATCGAACTACCTCAAAGCGGTCGTCTGAAACGAAGACAAACTAACCTCTTCTGGCGTAGGCTCAGGCTGATCGGCGGAGCCCCCACGCGAACCGCGGTCGGCAGGCTCGGCGGTCTTTCGTTCCCCTTCAGCTGTTCCAACCAATGATTTTCGGTCCCCGGATTCAGGGGTTTTTTGGCCCGCTTCGACAGATCCTACATCCTGCGATCCTGATCCTTTCGATGCATTTTCTGCAGACGGCGGTTTTGGTTCGGCTGACTCTTTCGGCTGAGCGTTCTCCGGCTCTCCTGACTGTATCGGAGTTTCAGGACCTGCTGGGGGAGGATCCCCTCCTTCCCCTTGTCCTAGTCCTCCTTCTGGAGCTTCCGCAGCAGCTCCCGCCCGGTTTTGCGCCGCTGAGTCAGTGTCGGAGTTGGTTCGAAGGCTTATGGTGTCGAAGGCCTAAAAGTGTTGAAGTGTGATCAGCGCACAATCACTGACGCTAGCGCTCACCGATTTCGTCATGGCAAAATGAAAACGGAATGGATGGCTCGCACTTATATAGTCAGCGATAAGTGGTTTTTATCTACATAGATACAGATAATTGTAAGTTAATGATTTCAATGGCTTACTTGCAGTTTCGGCCTGAGTCTGGCTCTATGAAGCTGAAGCATTTTACCTGGCTCATCTGCTTGTGGTTCATGAGAAACCTACATTTTCGAACATTTCTGCTTTGCACTCGCATCTTCATAAAGGGCTTTGTTATCAGTGCTTCGCGCAGCAATTTCATTTCCACTCCAATCTATGCTACCTTCCTTTGTCTTCCTTTTCAATCTGAAACAATCACTAGACAAGTTTATTTATTGAATCTATCCTCAGCAACCATAGTACGTAAAGGTCAATGCCGGAAGCAAGCCTAGGTCTCGAACGCGGTTTTTAGCGAGCGCATAGGGCTAAGGCAGGTGCCATACTTGATCCGCTTGATCCGCTTGATCCGCCTCATCCACTTCGCTATTGGTCAG